AAAAAAAAAAGCTGCAAGACACATGAAATCCGACAAAAATTTTGGGAGACCCATGGTTTTTTAATGACCTCTTGCCACCCCTCATATTGGCTGCTTTTGCTGTTGTGATAGGAATCTTATGCTTTAGCATTCCTTTTTCAGACTTTTGGGTATAAATGCTACAAGAAGAGGAGTCAAGACATGTCAACTCTGCATGAAGAAGATTGGTTATCGATCAAAACAGTGCAAGTTTTGTAGTCCCAGCAAGCAAAGAAAGAGATCAAGAAAATCTCAGCAAAATAAAGAATCCAGCAACGATGAGGAAAAAGGCACTGTCAGTATAGAGTTGGATACTACGAATGTCGATGTTGTAGTGATGGAAAGTGAAACTGAGATAGCCACATCTGAGATCTTGAACACTGCAGAAGATGCTTCAAAGCAAGTTGTGGAAGATTCTGAACTAGCTACAACAGCATCTTATGAAGAAGAATGCCAACAGAATATAGCATCTGTTGTTGATGGTGTAGAATCAGAACCAGCTCCACAAAATGACAGTGAACAAGTGATTGGGAAAAAGAATTACCACACAAGTCTGCAGGATTTAATCCACACTCTCCTTGTACAAAATCAAAACAGCAGTGTCTACATCGCACCAGACCATCAGGTGGAAGCTGATAAACTGGGTATGGAACAGCAAAATTGTAATTCACAGGGAGGACAAGATGGTGACGAAGAGATTGAACAGCAGCAAGAACAGACACAAGTATCCACTGGCCCACTGGGCAGTCCTGATAATGCTTATGACGCAAATTCTGTTGCATTGTTCTTGGGTCATCTTGCACAGCAGAATGGCAAGAAAATAAGAACTGCATTAAACCCAGTGACTGATAACACTCAGCCTGGCACAAGTTCGTCAAGTCTGATAGGAGTCAAAACAAAACATATTGTTATCGAGGATGACATGTCTAGCCAGGCAAAGTACAGGAAAATAAGACCAAAGTCATTTGATGAAGGCCAAGCTGTTCTAGAAATTCAGTCAAGTGTGGCATCAGCTGTTGAGGAAGAGATGGCTGACAGTGTTGTTGAAGTGAAGCCTACAGACTCCCAGCTAAGGTAGGGACTTTCAATAGCTAAGTTTTTATGGGTAGCCTGATTGTGAGTTTGAGGCAATGTAGATAATGCAGACAATAGAAATGATCTAAGAATAATTTTGAAGGAAATACTTATAATTTTATTTTCATTTGCAATTACTTATCAAGTGAATTCAAAATATGTTGGTTGTGTGGTGTATGGACTGAGTTTTTTTGGTGGGGAATCTTAGATGCTATCATTGAATCTGCAAGCCATCTTCGAAACGTTAGGTTTGATTTCTGCCACTCTCTGGAGTCCGGTCTACCTTCCTCCTCAAGAGAGTCAGCTGGACTTGCTATTATCACTTGTCCAGCTGTGATCTTCAAGGGAGGAGCGTGGGCTCCTTTTTCGAACAGTGACTAGTAATCTCAACTTGGGAGTAGCTAGACTTGTATTCCCTTCCTCTGTCAGACTTTTACCTTAGCCCTTAAGCAAAACTACCAAAGAGTAGATTTGGCTTTTCTTTGACACATTAGTCACTGGAGTGGTAATCCATGAATACGTTCTCTGTTTAGAATGCTTCCTGGAAATGCTACCAGAAGAGGAGTGATGCCTTGCCAGAAGTGTCAGTGTCTTATTGGCTGCCGCTCTAAAGTATGCAAGCACTGCAAGTTTCTGTTAAACGAGTCTAATCCTCCATTCAAACGGAACAGGAAGCATTTGCGACAAGCAATTCAGCTTCACATCCCATCAAACTCAACAGTGTCTGTGTTCTCTGTAAGAAGAAGCAAGGCTGGACCAGATCACAGGTGCTTTGTTTGGTGCGAAAGAAATGACCCAGAAAACAGAATGCGAGATGTTTATTCATGTGACTACCCTCCCTGTGTAACAGCAAGGGAACTGGGTAACAAGCCTATGTCCTTCTTATGTGAACACGCAAAGATTTCCCGTACTCAGGGATTGACAAATAATTCAATAGTGCTTGAACTCAATGAAGAGAAGTTAACAAGTGAATATTTCTCTGAGGAGGTGTGCAACTCATTAAAGGAATTGAACAGGCAATGCAATAGCAAAAGTGTTCCTCTCGTGCAAGGCGTGTCAGACAGGACTTTTGTTGTTGTTGATCAACTTCACACAGATCAGGGCAGTAGCCTAGCAACTGATCTCATTGGGTTTGTCCATGTGCGATTTGAAAGAACCAAAGTCAGTGGCTCTTGGCAGACTCAAGTGTTTTGCTCCGGGAGACCTTGTACAGCCTGGAACCCTATCTTCAGTTGTGTCACCAATAAGAACACATCTCTTCCAACTGTGCTGCGATCAGTGAACTGTATTCACTACTCAGCGTGTCTGTGGGGGATAATCTCTGATGAGAAACTTGTGCAGGAATTTGAACCATATCTCGAAGGTGCTAAAGCTAAAGTAAATAGTGATGTTCCTTGAACATCCATACCTTTTACATGTGCATGTAAATTGCTTTTCAAAGGGTTTGTGCATAGTGTCTGGAAACAGCATGGTAGTATGACATGTTTTTCCAGACAGCTTTGTCCAATCTTCAGCATGTCTTAGGTCTGTGAATTAACCTTTTCCTCTCTGAAAGCCTTGAGTCATGTGTAGTTAGTTGGGTTTTTCCAATGTTCAACTCTATCAGTTGTGGTATATTGTGAAGTAACGCACTCTAGACTTGAATCATGTACCTTTTAATGTTGTAATTTTCTAAAAAGAATACTCTGAGAGAAAAGTGAAACATATTGGCAGTAACATTTGGAGAGAAAGTGCAGGTTGTTGTCGGCTATTTATGACTTTGTGATTTATTGACAACTTTGGGTGAGAATAAATAGGCCAGGCCACTTTTATTATTGTTCATGTTTGGAACGTTTTGTTTTGTAAATCAATTAGCAACAAGCCAAAGCTATATTGTGGAGTTAAAGACTCCGGACTTAAGTCTTGTATCTTTTAATGTTGTAATTTTCTAAAAAGAATGCTCTAAGAGAAAAACGAAACATTTCATCAGTAATATCTGGAGAGAAAGTGTAGGTAGTTGTCAGCTATTTATGACTTTGTGATTTATTGACAACTTTGGATGAGAATAAATAGGCCAGGCTGCTTTTATTTCTGTTCATGTTTGAAACAGGCCTGTTCAGTTTGAACAGGCTGCTTTTATTACTGTTCATGTTTGTAAATTTCCTCTTCACACTGTCTGCATGTTGTGGTTGTATTGTCTGGTACTGTTGTATTTTTGGTAGACTACTGATAATAATTATCTAGTGTTACAATGAGAAATTTGTTCAGCAACAAAACCAGTTCATCTCAGATAGATGGTGTTACTTGAGGACAGTAAGCTTGACCTTGATGTGCTTTAGCATAATGAAGATGGTTGTCTATCATACTATTTATAGATCGTTTTCACATGACGTCATCATTTTCTAAAATCGAAAACTAAAGAGCCACAAAAGTTTTTATCCCCATCAGGCATAAGAGGGGGTAAATTATTGTTAACAATTTTACAGCTCAATAGTGTGCTTGTTTGGAAAACAGGGTATTTTTGGATTTCAGAATTATGGTGGTGCGTGACACAAAGCTACGATCGCATTTGTCGAAAAATATATACCTATCTCATGATTTTTAGCTTTTTTAGAAGTTAGACATAGACCAAAAACGTTGAGAAGTATCTTCTTTATTTATTTCCTAGAATATCACAATTTCTTGACTTTATCCACTGAATGGTTTTCGATTTATTTTTTTATTGTGTGACAGTGAAAACAATCTGTAGATGTCAGCTTGAAATTGGGTTACATAATAAATCATTTACATGTTTGCTAATGAATTGTTGACTGTGCAATTGGTAATAGATTTTTACCACACAATAAATGATTCTTGTTGAGATGACTAGCTCTCTTCAGTGTTACTGAAATTTATTGAGTTAATTGACTAGTTTTTAGCATCAATGAGAGGACAGACTAACGATTGCAGACCATCTGAGGGCCTTGTAGTTTGACAAAATTTTTTTTTTTTGGAACTCTTTCAAACAGTTTGCATTTAGCACAATGCAAGTGATTGATGGAAGACCAAAGGCAAAAAAATAATTCCTTTTCTTGCCTACTCTCCTTGAAGCAGTTATAGGGTTGGCACACATCAACAATAACCAAATAACCACTGTGATAGGGATTTATCATTTTCCCAAAACTAAAGCTTTTCAGCAGATAGAACAGTTGGATTTACATCACTTGTGCCATGGAAAAGTGAAAAAAATTAGCCAAAAAACACACAAATGGGGAGAGATGTTTTAAAATGTCTACAATCTCATTAGTTATTTTATTAATACTATACATGAAAAAATTACGCGATTCTGATTGGCTGAGAGCAGTGCAGTTCAAGTGTAACACCAGTGCAAATTACACATCGTAATTCTCGATTATGATTGGCTGAAAGGCAATAAGAAATTTTCGAAGCCAATGATTTTACGTAAAATGATGAGGAAAATTTTGTGCGGAAACTTTGAAAAAAGTTTTCTTGAATGAGAAAAAATGGCTTCAAGAAAGGTCTTGCGGCACTTCCTCCACGCAAAGTTTTTCGTGTTTTTATCATTAATAAGTAATCATACGGTTTCGAGTTCAATTTGGTATTGATTTGCACTTGTGAGTTTTTCAAAAAGCTGAAATTCCACTCGCCGAACTGGCTCGTGCAATTTCAGCTTTTTGAAAAACTCACTCATGGAAATTAATTCGAAATAGAACTCGAAACTGTATGATTACCTATACAAACACTAATGAATACCAAGTGAGCTTTCACTCCAAAACATGATATCTACACCCTTGAAAATAACATGTTATCTTAACATGGGAAAAGATTGCATTGCTACAGTAACATAATAAATTGGGCCTTTCACTGCAAAAGTCAAAAGGTTTGTTATTTCATTGGTGTTGATATAATAAATAGAACATTACACGGTCGCTCAGAGATAGGAAATTGCTCTTCTGGTGTTGAAAAGTATTTCACTCGTTTGCTGTGCTCACTCGTGAAATATTTTTCAACACTTGACGAGAAATTTCATATCTGTGTGGCCATGTGATATCCTCTATGTTCTCTTCATTCAAAACGGACACATTGCAAATCTTCAGAGATAGGTCTTCTCCCCAAACTATAAAGAAAAATTGTCAGTCAGTGTGGTAATGTTCCTGTGCAGCTGAGAAATCAGTACAATTTATTGTGAAAATTTGCTCACAGCAAACACCATCACGAGGATAGGAAAACTTTGCATTGCATCTTGTATTCGCTCAGTATATATTTCATGCTTGATCGAGGATTGTGTCATGTCAAAACAATTGTGGTAATCAGGTTGGAGTAAGACTTCTTATGTGCAAATGAAACTTTTCCCTTGCATCAAATGAAAATCACTTCTAAATGGAATGTGGTAACTTGTGACTAGTTTGAAAGTGGTAATGCAAACACTAGGCTAGGATTTTCAACACTTTATTTGAATAAAGATTGGCATGCTGAGATGCCTTTGACCTGTTGCATACAATAGTTAAGGAACAGACCAACAAAAAGTAAATGGACTAACAACATTTGCACTCAAAGGAAGGGGAAAGGGGGAATTCATCCTAGGAATTTAAGCTTTGGGCATGCTGCCTGATTTTCGAATCATTCTCCTCCATGCAAGCCAAAATATATTATTTTTCACATCCTATTTATATTTCAGACTTCACCTGTAAAATCTGTACCGTATTCTGATCTTTTGAGATCTGTAACTTATTTCACACAATCCACAACACTAGTACTGAAGAAGATTGTTCAGAAGTCACCCCTTTGGGCAGGCACATTGAAATACAGCTCATATTGGGGAGCACTCCCGGATATTGGTATCACCACAGAGTTGGAAAATCTTTTCTACCTGAACTAACAAAGGAACTGCTCTTGCCTGTAACCTGGCAGACAAGCTAACACTGAGGTGGGATCAGTACAGCATGTTGGGGGTTGTGGAGAGGTGGGTGTTATCCCCTAGTGGCTGTCTCCTCCACAGAGAGGTTTTGACAAGGGACGTTCTGCTGAGCGCAGAGTTAAGCACAGGATGCTAAGAATGTTTGCTCAATCCAAGCACCTTCACCTCTCAATTCTATGGTGAATATTCATTTGCCAGTCAGCAACATTTTTTTATCAACATAGAAACTGGGGAACAGAAGTTTCAATGCTGGCCACAGTATGATTTTTATTAGTATAAATCTACTACCGTTCTATCACGAATGATATTCTCTGATTGGCTATGCTACTCACTATCTATTCTGTGAGAGATAGTGAGTAGCGCAGCAGTGTGCCCTTGCTAACAAAATGATGGCCCCTTCCTGGCGTTTTCGGAGTGTCTGTGAAGAGGATTTAGATAAAGTTTTGAACGACTAGTAGATTTATACTAAAACAATATTAGATTATTTGCTCTTTATTTCTATTGAAGCTCATAATCTAGTTGTTTAATATAAAGAACAGGTCTGGGTAGTGGAGAGGGTAGATACTGCTATCTACTAGATAGATCATTATCCCCTGGATAGTGATTTGTTGAGTAGATAGCATTATACACCCACTGAGTAACTGGTGCTTAGTTAGTGAGCAAGTGAAACACTCTAGTTCGGATCTCGCTATACCCTTGATAAAAACTGACAAGACTTATATTACATTTGGTTGATAAGATCAATACACTATAAAACAAACTTGCAATAGAAGCTGATACTTCCGTAAGTCTTTTGATTGGTTACAGTTCAACTGGTACCTCAAAACATAAGACTCATTAAATATTTGTCACACAAATTTTGGGTATCATTTTTTTTCTCAGCTTCCCAGCGTTCCGGAATCCTAAATCCTTGAATCTGATTGGCTTATCATGCACGATCCAGTGGTCTGAATTTTACCATCTGGACCCTGAGTATGGATGGCTCTCAAATTTTCAACTGGCAACATTTCAAGCTTTTTATTTATACACCATAAAACAATGTGAAATGTAAACATTCAACACAGAGTCAAACAATTATGGACAAACAATTATAG